ATCCCCGCCCCTCAGGCGAAGTTATAAACATCGTGACCACACCGTCACCTCACATAACCTTCAGACTGAGAACCTGAAAAGATCGCAGCCTCACTTCCCAAACAAAGCGATGTCTGCTGCTGTTGTACTGCCTGTGAGCCAGAGGTGGGGGGTGAACCTGCACATGAACCAGCTGCCAGATGTGACCCTGCGTGAGCTCAACCAGGTGTTGAAAACGCGCGTCAACCAAGGTAAATAAAAACTGAAAATAAATACATAAAAATGAAATTATCAATACTCAGTTAATCTGTGTCCGGTGTTTTAAAACATTTTTAATCATTTTAAACTGGACACCTTTACTTTCAACAATAACCTCTGCTCAGTGTAATGCAGGGAACATGGTACAGTTATCTATGACATGTGTGGAGCTATATTTAGTCTAAAGGCTGCAAAGTAAAGTCCGCTCTGTCCTGTGTTATATGTGTTTAGGATATACGAAGAATCATGGAGGAAAGTCACATGACCACGACTCTGCACCACTGTCCAAATGTGGACTCAAGTCCGGTTCAGCTGTGCAGATGGTGAGAAACGTTTATGATGGAGGGTCCATCATTATTTTAGCTTTCTTTACATTTTACAGCTCCTGTCACACCTGTGCTCAGCACTAATTTAATACTACATGGAATAAATTATAATTCACGTATTTCAACTTACAACTTAATATTTTGGTATGAAAACATGAACTGAGTTTCCTCACTCCATTTCAAAATGGTTGCAGTTAGAGGACTCACTGAAAAGGTTTCTAGAATATTTGTGTTTGCTTTTTTATGATATGTGGTATAGTAAATGTGTTAAGTGCTGTTTAACAAAAGTACTAACCCTCACCTCTCATAACCTTCAGATGGTGGTAGCCAAAACAATGTGTGATATCTCCATTATCATGGCTAATGGTCAGAGATGCCTGATGCTCCTGTGCGCCATGCAGCTGCAAGTAATGATTGTGAGCATTTTCAAACAGAAAGTGAAGAAAATGCTCAACGAGAAAGGTTAGTAACCTGAAAAAACAAAAAATAAATGCGTTAAAATTGTAATTACCAGTGCTTAATGACTCTATATTCAAATGTCTTAAAAAAAATTTCACTAAAAAATTTATAAAATGTTATGAAGTTATGTTATGAATAATGCAGGAAACGTAATATAATTATTTATGACATATTTGTAGCTATATTTAGTCTAGTCATCTCTTTCTGTGTCATGTGTGTTTAGGATGCACTGAGAAGGATTTCAAGCTGCACATTGATGGCACGCCACTGGACGACGACTCTGCACCAGTGACAAAATACGGAATCAAAGCCGGCTCAGTTGTGCAGATGGTGATTGTGGTTCACGGAGGATGAAGGAGTCCATCATCAATTCATCTGATTACATCAAAGTTACAGGATTCACCGAACTATAAATACATGTAAAGAACAAAACGCATAATTCTAATTGAAGCTTGGCGTCTATGGCTTTCCTTCTCCTTTGCGCTTTCTTTGCATTTTACGCCTCTTGTCATACCTATACTCAGCACTAATTCAATATCATATGGAGTAAATAATGATTAATTGGGGTGCATTTTTTTTCCAAACAAGTTTCTGGGGCTTCTGTTCTCACAGTCAGAGGTGTGTGCCTGAGAATATTAGGAATATCTCCTCTCACTGACGTTACACACATCCCATATCTGAAACAAAGGATACAAACAATAATTAAGGAGCCTCAGATTATTATCATCACAGGAAGAAATCAGAATAAATGTAACTGTATATAGAGCAACCTCCAAAAAGTACATACTGAAAAAAGACCTATTTTATATTTGCTATTTATAATGTGCATGATTAAATACACATTACCAAATGTCATTGTTCTGCTCACATACCACTGATGTCTGCATGTTGAGTAGTTTACTGTTTTTAAGTCAATGACAACATTTGAAATAATTTTTAAATCAGGTTTAATATTTTTAATCTAAACTGAGCCGAAAAGCATCGTGATGTTCACGTGTTTCATATTTATTTAAACTTTTTGATTCCACTTTAACTTGATTATTGTACAACTTTAGCTGTTCCTGTAAATACTTCTAAATCAGCATTGGTGTAAGGTTTATATTGTTGATTGTCATTTATGCTTAGAAATTTTTACTCATATATGCTTAGAGTTTTATAATCGATTGCATAATAACAGAGGTTCGATCCGTAGTAGTCTGTAGAGACTCTGTGTGCTTTCCAGAGTGTTCTGGCATGCACACACATGACTTAAGGTCATGAGAGAGGTCATACCTTCTCTTACTGATTTATACTATAGGAGGACACCTACTCTGTATCTGTTTTAGTATAAGTGCCTTTTGTTTAGATGAATTGCTGGACTTCCAGGCCAGCAGATTTTGGGGAGTTATTCACAGGGTCACATCTTGACCAACACACACACATATACCTACACAGCACACAGACAAGGTATTCTTTGTTCACATGTATATCTGTGTAAGGCGTCATATGTTAATGAACCCATGCATATTCATGTAACCTCAATAAAGAGCAGTGTTACGAGGAAGCAGACGAGAGCACTGGTGTCAAACGAAGGAACGGCGCTCATCCAGTTCTCTCCCTCGTGCACGAGTAACACAAAGAGCTCTGGTAAATTGCGTCTTGCTTTTGCTGTTGTAATAGAATTGTCTCGTTCCAGCGAGGGCTTGTGTTAGACAGACCCATCAATTGGCACAATTGGACCACTTTATAAAAAATAAAGTATTATAAAATATTTCATTTTACACGATCATTTTCATTTGTCAATGTGGGATCTCAGCAAAATGTTGCAGGAAGGAAGGGAAATCCACAGGCTCATATCAAATGAGGTTTTGCTGACTTGTTCAAATCCAGGGATCAAATTTGACAATGAATGTTATGTTTTAGATTTACACATACAAGTCTTTAATACTCAGTAAAATATTACAAGGTGCGACATTGGTTACGTGTGGATAAACCATGTAATGCTCCTCAGCTTTTACACAATATCATTTAACATTAACTCATGTTATTTATTTTAAATGTCTGAAGAGAAAGTGATAGTGAATCTACTTTAAACACAGGATTTCCCCTGGCTCTCTACAAACCACTGTCATGTGTATTTGATAGCCTTCATTCCAGCCCTAAAAAACGAGTGGAATTCCCATCATTTATTATTGAATGAGTCCAAGAAAATGATGATAATATTTCTAAAGAAAGAGTATAACAACAACAATATACCTCTCTATCTCAAGAGTTGAGCCCTCATCCTTCACAAAAAACTCTGCTGCTTGTATCCACAGTCTAATTCTACAGTCACTTCCCACAGCTCGTGACCACATGAGGGGAAGAACATACATCAACATGTAAATCACCAGCTTTACTTTTACGCTCAGCTTTCTTCACCACACCAAACCACTAAAGCACTAAACTGCCTGTCAATCTCTTGCTCCGCTCCCCCATCACTTAAAGTCCTCCACTCAACATAGCAGCTCAACCCTGACTAGTGGTGCTGATGTGCACTCCACCCATTTCCAGCTGAGAACCATGGCCTCAGACTTGGAGGTGCTGATTCTCACCCCAGCTTCTTCACATTTAGCTTATGCGAATTTAGAAGATCTTGCCCAGCAAGCAACAAGATACTAAACTTTATAAGTCAAACTTTTACTGCCTTCACAGTGAAACCACATAATAAGACAAATTTAAAGGTTCAATTTTCCCAGAATTATCTGTACTCTGTTTGTTTGGATCCCACCTGTTATCCTTCTCAGGTTTGAGCAGTAAACACAGACACTGACCTCTGCACGCACCAGGGAATGTCCCCAAAACTGTTTTGTTTATTTTGTTTTTGTCACTTTCAGTTTCTCTCCACCAGTTACAAGAAGTCATACGACTGCAGATCAGCACTTGTATGATTTTGATTTATATAATAAAAGTCTTAGTGCTGCCCAGAGTCCAGGTTTATTTATTTATTTGATGATTTATGGGTTTTATCACAATATATTTTGTAAACTTGCACCTTGTAGTCAAAGTTGGTCTGACCAGTGACGCTGTGTCTCATTATGACCTGGATCTATTATTTTATTTAGTGAGTTTGGGGGAATTATTGCGTTCCCTTTGCTACTGCAATGTTCTGGATGTCCATCAAACTGGATGTTAAAATTATTTAATCTGAATGTTTGTAAACTAGGACTGATGAGTCCACTCATAACCATCATTTGGCACAACAACCAGGATGTAAAGAAGCAAAAAAAACAAACAAACCAAACATTGTTCTGGTTACATAACAAACGCTGATACGGGCAATTTCTAGTTGTTAGGTAGTTTACAGTTTTCAGCTAAATGATTGTGTTTGAAATTGAGGCGTTATGATGAGCATCATTTACATGTTTCAGTTTAAGTTTAACTGTTTTGTTTACAGCTCGTCTTGGGTTCCATATTTAAATCTTTTTGTGTATTTTCTAATATATCTTTTTTTCTTCTTCTGGAAACCAAAACAGTGCAGAGAATCACTTAACCAGCATTGAGGGGGAAAGGAGAACATGTGGGGAATTTTAGCCAGAACACGTTCTTTTTTAAAAAATAAAATACAATTTTTTTTCCTGATTAATTCAACCAGGAAAAAAACCCCATTCAGATTCAAAATCTCATTTACAACAACACTAAAATACATAAAATTTTACAAATTATGATAGATGAGTGATCATCCACATAGAAATAGAAAGAAATAAAGTCCCAAAACGTTTTCACATAGTAGTCAGATAATTTATCCATTAAAACATTTGCATGCCGATCTTTGCCGATTTAAAATTTTAAGCATTTATTTAAACTCACTTAGAGAAACAACTTGCTTCAAATGTAGCTCATTCTGGAGCTGATCCATTCCTTAGCGGTAAAGGACCTCATGCCGGGAACACAAGCACATAAGTTTACAATGGTTAACTGATATGCGTATCACGGACTCATAGGCCTTTATCACGGATGCCTGTGATCAAAAGCTCGGGTTGGGAACCTGGCAATAAGTCTAAAGGGCTCGGGCTATTTTCCAAAGATCAAGATCAGCAAACCTGGTGCAAAAAGTAGCACCACCTATGTCAGGGAGAGGTTGAAGCAGGTGTGGACAACCATTGCGAAAGTAGAGCAGTGGGACTCTGGAAGCAAAGATGATTGATGTTTTATTTTATTTTATTTAGCCTAGTAAACCTTTATGTCCGGGGAAAAAGCGAGACACCTTTGCTCCTTGGAACATTACATATCAGAGCTTGGATGTTAAATAGAGATAGAAATTCTTCTGTAAAATGTTTACCTCAGTGCAATACATGCTGTGACTTACATGTGAATACGTTAACAATGATTTTACATCATTTAAAAAGAGTAAAAATTATACTGATATCCCTGGATTCACACTGAAACTTGGAATTTAAGTTAGCCTTCAAACAGCTAAACTTTAATCAGATTAAGAGTTAAATATTTTATATTGTCTAAATGAAGAACAGAATGAAAACAGGTTTTCCTGCATTCCCCAACTCAGCAGCACAAAGTGATGAAGCCTTCTCTTCCTGAGACTGTATGACTAACCTAACAATAATAATAATTAAAAATCTGCATTTTAACTCAGTCACTGTATTAATTTAACTTTCAAATCAACATTTCATTTGGACCATATTTTTTTTAACAATGTATAGTAAAAAATCACATTTTACATGACAGTGTTCATTTTCTATACACTAAGAAACAAAAAGGCAGAAAAAAAATCTACAGGCTTGTATTAAATATGGTGTTGCAAGCTTTTCTTCCTCAGAGACACATTTTTATTTTTAATTTCGAAAATGAAACAATTAACTTAAATATGCTGAATGTTTTACACAATGACTTTAATTAAACATAACAAAGTTTTATTAAAAGACACATTTGCTCGAAACAGTTGAGGAAATAAGAGCATTGACATTGATTAAACAAAACAAGATTTTCCTACACAAAACATTTGTTCTAAACAGATTTAATATCACGTAGTTTGCAAAACAAACAAAATGTGTGATAAGGAGACGACATGTGTTATATATGTAAGTAACCAGAGGACAGGATGTGCACACAGAATGTTTAACCTTATTCTAAGTTTATGAATGAATGGCATTTATCAGATTTATCATTACAGTTCAGACATGACACAGCTGCAAAGATCATATTTGGTAATACATTTCTCACTACCATCATTTTTTTTAATGCGATGACATTTAAAGCAGAGAATTAAAAAACACAGCATGGTCAATTGATTTGGAAAAGACACTCTTAATTTAAAGAAAGCGAAACTTAACAGCCTTGTGTCTTTCCCATTATTTCTTCTGCCAGACAGGTATAGAGGTCTGTCTGGGGGCAGGAATACACCTGGTTATCAAACATGTACCGGAGCTCTTCAGACATACAAAACAAAATGACACATTGCATCGAGGGCAGTGAACCGATTTACAATACTTCTTGCTGTGCTCCAACAGTAACCCACAAGTGGGACAGGCACGAACAGAGGGACACTCCTTCACTGAACCAAAGGTGATAGTTGGGCATTTTTTTAGTGTCTCTAATGACTGGTTGCAGCAGCCACGATTTCCACAGCGGTCTTTCCGAGGCCGTGCACCCTTCCACTCCCTCAAACACTGCCAGCAGAATTCAAACGGCCGTCCTTTTACTGCTGTGCACACTTTACAGAGGACATTCAAATCTGATTCATTCTCTCTCGTCACAGTGGATCTGCAGCCAGGACACTACACGGAGACAGAGGTGGGACAATATGTAATACATGATGAAATGTCTAACAATTCTCCATTTACATGAAATATATATGTTAATGAATCACTTACCATCTTAGTCGTATGTGTCTGCCTGGCAGCGTTGAACGCCATGGTTCTTCGAAAATATGCATTTTCTTGAGGCGTCAGCAGAGCCATTTTACAAACCTCTGCAAAAGTCCACTCGACGTTACAACCAGACGCACCACACACAAACCTGCTTTCACCCTTTATTGAAATATAGAAAGGTGCGTTATTTATACAGTTCAGGGGTTGAAAACAAACGACAGAACAATCTCATGAATTGCAGCTAATATCTTTAGGTTAATCTTTGATTAATAAAACTATAAACACTATGTTGTGTGAGGGTTACCTCATATTATCAACAAATGAAATAGTATCGTTCCAATCCAATCCACAGGAAAATAATAATAATAATGATGATATATTGGGCGTTGTTTTCTTGATTTATTCACGTGCATGTAGCATTAAAAACATTAACTTCTGTAATTTCAAGACACAGGCAAAACTATTCTGCCCTGTTTAAAATCTGAATTCTGCCACTGTGTCTGATGTTGTCTGTTATTTATTTATTTTATTGAAGCTGACCCTTGGTGGCCTACCTGGTTCAACAATCTGCGACACCAGTTGGTGAGAGAGGTCGGAGTCACAGCGTGACCACAGGACATCTGAGCTCTGAGAGATTTGAAGCCTTCATACAAAACTGAGAAATCACACACAAGTAAAAAATCAATGTCACACGCGAATAAATGCTAATGCCGATTTTGTTTAACCTAGACTAATGTGAGCACAGGTAAAATTATTGTATTTAATTATTGTCATTATTTCTATAAAGTTGAATCTGTTCGATGTCACTTTGAAAAGTGCCCACGTGACACTTACAGTCCAAATCATCCTCTCCATCGACAAATTTAAGTGTTTTGTCATGACGGTCGTAACACTTCTCCTGTGTTGTTGGCACGCTTGGGGGCGTCACACTGCGAAACAACAACAAACAGATCAGAATGAACACTTTCGGTTTCACTTCAAAAAAGAGAGTGTGTGAGCTGCAGTGTTGCGCAGTTTTCTGATACTTGCACACAGCTCGCGTTTCTTCTTAACATAAAGTGTTTGATCAGCGGCTTCGTGTTTCAGCATCACTGTGATGTCAGACTGTGACACTGAATTATGGCATCGCGCAGTTTAGAGCCGTAACGAAAAGTCAGAGCATAAAAATCGTTAGCAGTGAAATCGGAGCAGCAGATGTAACCTGAGTTGTTACCTGTGCAGCAGCAAAGGCGGGGGCAAGTACATCGGCGCTCTGTCTGCGGGACACACTGGATACATGTAATAGACATCTGGCACGTTGATGAACGGAGCAACACCCGAATCTTGGTGAGGTGAACACAAAGGTGTGGTCCTGTTGAACATCTGGCTTGGCTTTTATTGTCACTGCGCACTATCTGTTCACGGGAGTATATCCAGCGGTCGACTAAGAATCGTGTTGTTCTGCGGTGAATATGAGCAGCGATACTCCTCCCTCCCTCCCATCTCTTTCTTTCTCCCACTGTGTGTGTGTGTGTGTGTGTTTTCAGGGCCGCACCTCTGTCGTTGGTAAAATTCGAGTTTAGCCTTGCCTGCTGGTTTTCACGACGAGTCCTGATTTTATTAAAATATTTTTTTTCATTATTTAATTTCATTCATTAGTGTTCATTTTGAGAACTAATTCTAAGTTTCGAGATTGAACTCGAAATAGTTGAAAATCAAAAATGAAAAAAGTCGAAATACCTTTTTTGATTTATTTTTTAATCGTTTCGAGTCAAACCACCTCCTCAGTGCTGCTACATATCCTACAGCATGCCTGGTGTAGATGAGTTAGTTAGACAACTTAATCAGCTCTCTTTTTGTGTCTTGTGTTACAACATACACTCTCTTTACTGCACGAGCGTGCAGACAATACAGGAAGTAAGAAATAGCACAATATATGCTATATATACATAAATATAAGTCACTTGCTGATAAATATCTGAATAACAAAGAAAGAAATAAGAGTATGTGCAAAAAGGGTGTGGCTATATCAGTATGCAGTGTGTTAGGTGGATGAGGTGTACAGGGAGATGGCCACAGGCGGGAATCCAACTTCCTTACACCAGCACCAGCTGTTGGAAATACCCAGGAGTCTTTATAATTCCACTTTGGCCTGGTAGGCTTTTACCTCCTCACCAGAGAAGGTAAACAAAGATGACTCTGTTTAACCTTATATCTGGTTGCCATGCAATGTAAATAGATCTTCCCTCCCCCTGGTTGTGTTACACCAGAGCCATAACTTTAAAGAAATGGAAATGCTAAGATGTTGGATGCATTAGTGTAAATTCAGTGGATTCAGTAATCTACTGAATCCTTTCAGTAGCATGATAGCACTGTGATTTGGTTTGATCCTTAATTGTTATTGTTTGTTCTTATTTGAATGTCTAGAGAAAATCACACATCCATCCATTCACCTCATTGCCATAATAAACCTTTAAGAATAGCTTTCTGGATCTTGTCTTTAAATATGCACACCACGTCAGACGTTCTGTGAGTCAGCACAACCAACACCAGTGTCGTTCCTTCACTGACATCCCAACATCCCCACATAACACAGGGTTAACCTATTGTATAAGGTAGCTGGGATAGAGTTGAATTCCTGGCCTGAATTGTTATCTCAGGATATGTTCACTAAAACAGTGGAGTATGAAGTCGTCTGATTGCAAGAACATTAAAAGATGGACAGACACCACATTGTCATAGATCATCAATAATAACGACATATATTGGCCATGTCCACAGCTGGACTGGCCATTGGGCATACTGGGCATTTGCCCGGTGGGCCGATGGTGATTTTTCGTTTTTATGGGCCAGTGTTGTTGTTGTTGTCTATAATGGTACAAACAATGAAAGGTGGTGGACTGGCCAATTGGTCATGAACGACTCTGGGATGGACCAATTATAGCCGAGGAGGTCGGATGCACCTTCCTCCTTGCTTAGGCAATGACTCTAAAAGCAATCTTGTCACAGACAAACAGAATAACATGGTGTTGAGGTGAAAAGGAACACAATTTGTTCCGTACTTCAGCTAGGATAAAAAAAACACACAAAGCTGGCGTTATTCTGTGTTTTTATGCTGCACAGCTGCCTCTACTTCTCTCATTCTCTCCCCTCCCTCTTCTGTTGCTACTTCAATCATGAAACTGATCAATGATCAGCTGATCGGCTTTTCTCTCTTGTTTGTTTATCGCCCACTTTGCACCAGAAAGAGGAAACCAGCAGATTTCACGCTGAACAACAAAAGCGCGTTTAAGCTTGATCAGTTGTTGTTATAATTTATTTAATATTACTTTCTAGGACCAGCTGATGTTTGCTGGAGCCACAGCTGTAAAGCCGCTGGTCATGATGTTGGTTTGGTTATCTGTTGAGAGGAAACATGAAGATGAAACCAGGAGATGTCCTTACTGAATCATCAGAGCTGAACAGGTGATGGACAAACAGGTTTACCTTTTAGGTGACATGAATGAGTTGAAGTTATGAACTATTTCTGGGAGACAAATAACACCAGATCCTTTTCTAAGTAGCTGACAGCTGTTAACTGTGCAGGGGCGGGTCTAGCAAAGTTATGCCAGGGGGCCAGGTAGGGCATTAACAGGGAAGGGGGACAAAAATAAATACTTTTCTTCCTTATTCTCATTTAAAATGTCTCGCTTTTAATAAATAATTATCTGAATCTTTCAACCAAAGTGGTCATCTGATGTAAAATGTATAGAAATCATTCATTCATACCGACAAGATAGTGTACGTCACTGTCACAACAGCGTTTGTTTTCATTCAAAGGCTCTATGGCTTTTTCTATAATACCTGGTCTCTAGTCAAAATGCCCGGGCTGATTTTTTGTCCCAGTCCAGCCCTGGGTTTGTTCATTCAGCTGATGGAAACTATCCACCCTACAGTGTAAACATAATGTGTGGCAAAAGTAAACCATGCGATTTCTTATAACTCGATTTAAAACGATAGTGAAACTAAATTAGATGTGGAACTTCCCTAACAGTCCAAACACATCTGTTGGTGTGGCTTTTTGATAAAGTCACGATTGTAGGCTCATATAAGCTGCTGCCGCTAGTCTTTGTGAACAGCTATTTGGGACAACCCTCCTAAAAGGAAAAAGCCATCTCAATTATAAATTCAGCCCACGCCCATTCTGACTTTAACATAACCTGAAGCAGCTCGTACCGCTCACACACGATCCAGACAAACAAAATGTGCAAGTTTAGCTTGTCTGTTCTCTCACCGGCAGGGGAGATGGGGATTCTTAAGTTAAACGCCTCCAAGAAGCAGCGGAAGACGGTCAGTGACCTGAAGAAAGGAGCGCTGAAGCTGTTTCCCAAGAAAGGTAAGCCTAAAACCCAAAACAGATCAAAAAGAAAAATTACTTCTTGAGTGATCACGTGGCTCTATCGTAAGCCTACATTCAAATGTCTTTGTCTATTTTATGAATCTTTTAAATTATATATTTAAAAAAAAACTACATGAAGTGTTTAATTTTATTGGTAATAATAATATAATTAAGAATGATTTAGTTTGGCGTCATAGTTATGTGAGGTATTTGTGTAGCACAATAATGCAACACACCAACTTCAACCACACATTCAAGTGGACATCTCAGTCTGAGTAAACATGTGAGCTCAAGCCAGCTCAGACAGGCTGTGTTAACAGATATGACCACAATTACAAACACGTTTCCTGTGTACTGTGTTGCTGTTTCAGTAAGTCGCACAAACTGTGTTGTTGAGGTTTTGTTTTTTACAGTTGAATTAAATGTTTTTCACACTTAGTTTAGTTTTAGTTGAGCAGTGGCCACAGTCATGTGCTGTCTGAGTGCAACTTAAAGATAACAACCGTCAGTCGTGTTCAGGGAACATGATATAATTATTTGTCACATCTTTATTTACTTAGTGAGGTTCGTCTCTCTCCTGTGTTGTGTGTGTAGGATATCTTCTGGGTGAAATCCGGCTGGTTGTCGCAGGGAAACCGCTGGATGATGAATCTGCATCTCTGTCTGAATATAGGATCAAACCCTCGTCTGTGGTGCAGATGGTGGCGAAGGTCCACGGTGGCTGATCATCACTGATGCACTCGACTGCATCCACAAGACTCACAGCAGGACTGAAATATGAGACACCAAAGGACAAAATCCATCATCTTTGGCTCTTTCAAGACTTGTCCCATACCTGCTTAGAGTTCAGCACTAATTAATTATGATGAGCTGTAAATGATGAATAATTAGGATGTAATAATGTATTTTGTGTTTATTTCCCTGCTAAGCTGTGTAACTTGCTATTTGTTGGTATATCAAAAATAACTATGAATGTATATCATTTGAGATATTTTTCCATCTTATTCAATAATAAAAAATTTTTTTCTTTTTTTACAGTTTGTGTTCTGAAAACTAATCTCAATAGTCCATTACTACAGATTCCACACTGCTACACGCAGGCATTAAAAATCTGTTTGTTTCTAATAGGCACCACCTATCACTGCTCTAATTCACATACCTGATATACAGAGTAATATGAAGAAGAGGTGGCTGGTGGCTAAAGGTGAAAATGCAAACCGTGGGGTTATTCTGTCTGCTTGGGATCGGAACAGCATCCAGCTACAGCTCAGGACCGCTTCCTCATCGGTCTCTGCCATGACACCCAGCCACAGTTTCCTTTTGGACTGTTGGGTACTGCCTTTAGATTGCAGTTGCTGTTAGGCAATATTATTACCACACCAGTTTCTGCTGGTGGCTTATGCAGTATAGCAGTTCATCTACTAATCAGAAGGCTGGTGGTTCAACCCAAAGCAGACAGTGCATAAAATGAAGCTTTTGAGGCCTCACGGTCCTCTGATGTGAACATAAATGAAATCTGTGGGAGGATCCTAAACATGTTGATCTGTCTTTAACTGGGCAGACCTCATATCATAGTAAAGCCATTTCTTACCTGCACAAATATATATTTTTGCCACTTTGCTGTTGTTTTGATTATGTTGTCTTCAACACACTTCTCAATATGGCTTGGGTTTTCCCCTCGCGGCACCCTGACATTTGTTGCCTTTGTTTCCTTGATTGCGGCATCTACGTTGAATCCTTTTTCATTACTCAGCTCGTGCCGCACTCAGCTTTGTCATTCTGTGACTCTCTTTCCTCACTGCAGTCCCAAAACAACCCTTCTCTCTGCTGTAGCAGATTCTCAGTCCCTCTCTTTCAGCTGTCCTTTCAGTTTTCTCTGAATTATCACCATTCACGTGATATCCTTCTCAGGTTTAGAATGAGCAGTAAACACAGAAGCTGTTGTCTGCACACACCAGGAAATGCCCTAGATTGTTTTTTATTTATTCGTTATCACTTTCGGTTTCTCTCCACCAGCTACGAAAACTCATGCAACTGCAGATTAGCAGCCAGGATTATTTTGTACATTTTATTTTATGTAATCAGTGTTAATTCTGCAGCGAGTCCAGGTTTAATATCTTATTTTGTGCATTTATTGGTTTTATCACTCTACTTTTGGTACCTTGCACCATGTAGCCAAAGTTGTGGAAAGTACCCGATCAACCAATCAGCTTCACTGGGCTGGCTTATCAACTGGATTTATTGTCTTGTTTGGAGAGATTGAAATGGTTATTGTGTTACTTTTGCCATTGTGGTGTTATGGATGTGTATCAAACTGGATAAAAAAATGATGTGATAATAAGATTACTGATGAATCCACTCATACCTATCATTTGGCAAGACAACCAGGATGTGAAACAGCAAAAAAACCAAACCAAACATTGTTCTGGTTACATAACACACATTGGTGCGGGTGTATTAGGTAGTTTCCAGTTTTCATCTCAATGACAGCATCATGCTTGATAAAGTGATTCAACTCGAAACTGAGCAAGCATGCATTATGATGAGCATTATTTCTATGTTTGAAAGTTATTTTAATTTTCTGGTTTACATGTCATCTTTGGTTGCATATTTAAATCTTATTGCATATTTTCTGTAATACCCTTCTGCTGAAAACAATGCAGCAAATGTTCCTCTTTGTGCCACTTAACCAGCATTTAGGATAAAGGTGGATCTGTGGGGAATTTTATCCGCAACCTATTCATGCCGGGAAAACAAGGCTTTAATTATGGCTTTAAATAACTGAAACTAAGTAAAATATACTATCTCATTAAACTGAAATTAAACTGAAATGAAGGAATGCATACATAAAGTATATGCAGGTTCAACCATATTTCAGATTTATGAATAAATGAAAAGTTTCAGACTTGTTATGGTCCTTGTGACTTAAACTAAAAGCAGTATAGGCAAAAAAGATCACATGTGACAGCAAAATATCTCACCAACAAAGCCAATAATGATTACATATGCCAAATCTGACCTCATGTTATAACCAGAGAAGGACATGAAACACAGTATGGGAAATTACGTTGCACGCAAAGAAAACAAAGCTCCAGCAGGGTGCTGTCTTTTTCCATCATTTCTTCTGCCTAACAGGTATAGAGGTCTGTTTGGCGGCCCACACACTGGAGCATTGAGCAGATATTTGACTTGTTGTCATGCATTCAGTCTTCAGGCACACAAAACAAAACTTCACCTTACATTGAGGACAAACAGAGAGATTTGCAATGTGTCTGGCTGTGTCCCAACACTAAGCCACAGGTGAGTAAGGCATGGATGGAGGGACATGGACTCACAGACTCAAAGGCAGTACTTTTAGAGACTGACTGCAGCAAAGAGGTCTTTCTGAGGTCGTGGATGCTTCCCTCAGATAATTCCAGCAGAATTCTGTATCATTTCTTAACGTATCATCTAATGAAACTGAATATTTATTTGCATGTTTTCAGAACTGCATTGCAAGATGCTACTCAAAAATCTGGCTTCCTTCCAGAGTCCACTGACATGCATGACTGTAAATGGGTTTTAGGTGTGCCCTGGCCTGTCCAACCTTAATGAGAAACACATGGGTAACAGCATGACCAGGGACAAAAAGAAAGATTAAACAATAATAAATAAAACATTTAAAAATTTTGTTCAGTTACATTCATATGTAAGAATGAAAAGCTCCATAGTTCAGCCATCTGTTCCCTTCCACTTATTCAATTCAGGGTCCCCAGCAAAACTGGAGTGAAACGCAGGATAGACATAAACAAAGCACCAGCCTGTCGCAGGCAGCCTGAAGGTGAATTCGGACCAGGACGTTCTTACACCACGCCACCATCTCTCTGTATGAATAACTGTACATTTTCTCCTGTATTGTGGTGAGCATTTGTTACAAAGCGCCTTTCAGCATTTTAAAAGACGTGACTGAGGGATGAGGGTAGAGGATGCGCTCTCTGGTGCGCAGTTTCCTACCGTTAGAAAACCTCCATCCTCCAAAATATTAAAACAATAACCAGGCAGTCCGATCTAATATGCACATCAACAATGTAGTTATTAGACCACATCGTGCTTTACCTGAGCAGCAGAGCTGTGACTGATCCACTTACGATGTGGACATTATCACAGCGAGACTCGAGTAGCGGTTGTTGAAATGACGTGAACAGCGGTGAACTGAGAAGACTTGTGTGGGCTGGAGTATATCTACTGAAGCAGTGGAGTACCATATCTTCAAATTCCTAGAAATAAGATTATTATAGGCTACCAAACGCAGCGACAGATACAACAGTAAAGGGTGTGCAGACGTGATATATGGATAAATAAAATCCTGTAACCGACACTAAGCCCGCTGCTTCAAAGCCAATGTCTGATCGATTGGCAGAAAAACTGCTGACCACACGGTGAAGGTGAATAATCACGTGATTTCTTCTAAATTAAAGACGAAAAACGCCAGACTCCCCTGACACACCGACACTCCATTACTTATCTGATAGCTTCACTACTATCGGCAGAACTGCGCAACTGCAACATCTGCGCAATTACCGTTTTATAATTCTGAAACGATATTATGATATTGAGATATAAGTGATAGAAAAGGCAGATTTACAGACTGTTTTTTAATAAAATGGTTTAACACGAACAAGATAAAGAACAGTTTACTTGTGTAACTCATATCCACACGTGACCCGCAGACTCATTTAAAGACTAACGCTAAGCTCTTGGTTTAGGTTTGCTTTGTAAATCATAAGGAGACCATGTGCAGTGTTTTAGATTAAAGTCACTGTGATTCACGGGAGATAATATTGAATTAACCTGTGCAGTGATTCCAAAGAGTCGGTCAACTCGATATGAGTCCAATTCAAATACAATAACAACTTTCACTCTTATATTTCTGTTACTCCCTCACACTGTAATCGATTAGTTGTAGGCCGATTTAGTTGGATTAAGTGTCAATAACATCCACATTATTTTATTCTCATAAATAAACAAATAAATAAATGGCATCGTTACATTATTGTTTCCTTCTTAAAGCGAAACAAACCATTTCAGACGCATGTTTCCGGGTCCGCTGTATAAAAATTTAGCGTAACTGCGCATAACATTCAGACGGAGACAGTGAAAGGAACTCTCAGCTTCCCCCACACGATGTGTCGATATGATGTCGCTGTTGTCTCGCCTTCAGGCGGGATGAAAACAGTCAGCGTGTACTCCAAACAGCTGCCCGTGCAACAACCGACGGTGGGCCAGCTGAGGAAGGAAGCGCTCAAAGCGTTTCCCACAGGTAGGCGAACCTAAAATAAGATTAAAAAATAAATAAATAAATAAACACTGTAGCAATCTGTTACACAACAAAACAATACATTTAAATCATGCTGCCTATTTTTTAATATTCAAATATCTTAAAATATGATTTGTATGTTTAAAATTACTTTTAGAATTACGATCAGTTCAGTTGTCAGTTGTTGAAACATTATAAACGTGAAACTGACGAAGCTGGTCCATAACCTGGAGCCTGTCCGGAAGCACAGACAGTGAAAGTGTTACTAACTGAACTGCTGTTCTCTGCGATGCGGCTTTAACAGAGGCATTTAAATAAGTCCAGTATTTTAATGCCCGCGTTAAAACCTTTAATGCGGGGACATGTAGCCTGTTTATTTATTCTAAGGTTTGCGGAGTAACTTTCTGTTTTCCTTGTGTTCCATGTGTAGAGAAATATTTGGGTGAAATCCGTCTGGTCGTTGAAGGAAACCCACTGGACGACGACTCTGCGTCGCTGTCAGACTGTAAAATCAAGCCCAACTCTGTTGTGCAGATGGTGACCAAGGTTCACGGAGGCTGACTCAGCTCCATCGTCGAGCTCCAACCGTTTAACACAGACCAAGGACAAAAATGCTTTTGTACGCTGTTAAACCTGTGCAGTTATTTCGAGCTGTTTCTCAGGGTGTAAACAATTCATTAGCTACTTTTTTTCTTTTTTCTCTTATTTTTGTTGATAAATTGTGTGGGACACCAATAACAAATGTAAGGGTACACACACCAGGGAAATTAAAGGCTCCACCTCATGGGCTTCTGTGCTCAGAGCCAAAGATTATAAATAATAAATCAATCATGTGGCAATATTATTAGCCACATGATAACCACCAAGAAATGAGAAAATGTAAAGGCACACAGAACAACCTCAAGAAAGTAAATCATGTACTGATTTTTATCATTTGTGCTTTTGTGATGTAAATAAAAACAAACATATACCACTGTACTTGTCATGGACTGGATTGCACTTTTAGATTAGTTAGTTGCAAGTTACGCAAGAAATAAAATTCTGATTTGCTTTGTAGCCTATTACTTCAGACTGTCAGAGTCAAAGTCAGACTGTCATGTATATTATGTAAAATGATACATAAAAGCCTGATACTCATGATAAAGGCCCGTCAGGTACAGTGATTTGTATTTGAGACATTTAAGGACTTTTCGCCCAATTTCCACCAACTGGAAATTATATGTAAGTGAATAAAAAATGTTTAAAAATCATTTAATCTCCATAAAATATAGTTCAAAATATACTGGAATCAAACTGAAACAAACTGAAACTGTAAATTATTTTTTTTAAAAACCCAAAGAGATTATTTCTTTAGTTAAAACAAAAACTGGTATCACCTACCCAGCACAACATGATAAATGACAACATTTTGACAATTTGTTTAAATGAGCTGCATGTTTAACATCTTAACTTTTGTTTTAACCTAACAAGGTTTTTCAAAAAGAAAGAATGTGTGTTTAACTTCACATTTAAAATGTATTTTTGAGATTTTACAAATCAGGCATAATACAATTATAAAGTTTACATCTGGTAGGAAATTTCTCATCAACAAACTACAACATTTCTTTAGCATTATATTACATGATATATTATTACAGATAAATGCCAACCGCAGGTTTCTATGAAACATGTTTATTTCCTGACTGGTTGACAAGTGGATACTGGAAGTAGCTTAACCATGCAGACCTAGTATAAGTTCAGTGACCTGGCAATCTCCAGTCAGAGTGAAATTCTGGGAATTGTTGACTGGTTTCTGGCAGTTGCTAGGTGAATGTGGGAGCAAAAAGTTATTTTTTTAATATAATTATGAAATAGTTTAAAGTGCATCAACTCCAAGGCACTTTCACACCAAAACAAAGTGAAGTTTGATGGCCTTGTGTTGTTACTATTATTTCTTCTGCCATACAGGTATAGATGTCTGTCTGGGAGCTACACCACTAGAGCAAGGTGCAGAAATGCCACTTGTTGTGGTGCATTCAGTGAAGATCTTCAGGCACACAAAGCAGAACTTCACCTTGCAACGAGGACAAACAAGAGATTTACAATGCCTCTTGCTGTGCTCCAACAGGAAGCCACAGGTGGGACAGGCACGTACAGAGGGACACCCGTGGACACCCTTCACTGAATCAAAGATGATATCTGGGCATTCTTTTAGCGTCTTTAGTGACTGGTTGCAGCAGCCACGATTTCCACAGCGGTCCTTCCGAGGCCGTGCACCTTTCCACTCCTTCAAACACTGCCAGCAGAATTCAAAGGTCTGTCCTTTTACTGATGTGCACACTTTACAGAGGACATTCAAATCTGATCCATTCTCTCTCGTCACAGCGGATCCGCATCCAGGACACTAAATGGAGACAAGAGAATGACATTTAACAATAATAACAAATTTCAAATTTTAACAGTAAATATAATATGTTAATGCGACACTTACAAATCGGGTGATAAGCCTCTGCCTGGCAGCGTTGAATTCCAGGGTTTTTCTGAAGTACTCGGTTTCTTGAGGGTCCAGCAGAGCCATTTTACAAACCTCTGCCAAAGTCCACTCAGCACTGCAACCAAACGCACCACACACAAACCTGCTTTCACCCTTTATTGAAATAATGAGACGTGAAAGGATTATTAGACTTACATGTTGGAAACAAAACACAAAACAATTTGATGAGCTGGATTTTTGTTGTTTCAGTTAAACTTACATTAATCAATAAATACCATATTGTGGGTAAGACTTGCTCTGTAATTCATTAACTTATTAGCTAATAAAAGAAATTATATTTATCATTAGCAAAATTTTTCTTGTAGCTAATACCTGCATTGCTAGATATGCAATGGTTTGATAAAACACTGAAAAGGTCACAGCTGGACAAGCACAGGTGTAAGTCATTGCACTGAAATCTAAAGTATATGATAAAAATAACAGGTTTCAGGTTAATATTTTTGATACAGGCTTTTACAGCATTCATTAGGTGCTCATCTAGTTTTTGGTACTTTTGTTTCCAAAGACTTGTGAGATGCAAAAGAATAAGTGAACAAAAGTGGCTGTAAGGTTGTTTAGAAGAGCACGGTTTATCAGTCTCTTAGATGTGTGATTTCTTGAAGTGCTTCACAGGTGCTGGTTGAACACGAGGTGATTATAGGCCCTAAAATGTTGTGTACACACTGTTGAGTGATGTGTCTGCAGACCAAGTAAAGAGCGCTTGCTGTGTATTATGTTTAAAACAAGATGTGATAATAGATCAGGTATTATTTTCATCACTTGCACACAT